ATCTCAGGGGCTTTATAGCCGTCAATGGTTCCGAAAGAAGATCAGTGCAAGGTATCTGCATTTTCGCGTCACGGGCTGGAAGAAGTGGCCTGCATGTCTTCATCTTGAGGTATATGGTCTTTTGGATAATTTTGAGATAAGCGTCAAAAATCTGAAGAAGGATGGATTGAAAGCGCTTTCCAGGGAAGATGAAGATGAAAGCAATGATTTGGAAGGAAATTTTGAAGATGATCAAAAGGTTGAAAGAAGTAGGTTTTTCTGTTTTTTCAAACCGATAAATATTGAAGATTTTTTAATATTTCTCTTCATATTTCGGTATGCATTCATCTCTTGATATTTTCTTGGCAGACAAACCAGCGATGGGTCATATTGGCAAGCCAACAATTTCTCTTACACAAAAGAAGGACGCAGATAAGAGGATTTTAACAATCGGGCTGTGTTTTCTTGCCACAGGAATAATCGCATTACTAGCTATGATTATTGTTTGTAAATGGGAGAGGAACGAACGTAAGATCAGCCCGGATGTAATGAGAGCAGAACTCAGACAAAAAGCGAGATCAAATTTAAGAAAATAAGATTGAACCTGTATGTACATACGGCTATAAATAGTTGTCAAACTTTATTTTAAAATAAGATTACTTCATTCAACAATTTGCGATTGCTGTGATGTAAGGTTCCAGCCAATCAGTTGCTAGAAAACCGGAAACTCTAGTGAGACATTGCTGTTTTATTATTAAAGTGTTATGTAATACATGCTGATAGCTAAATTAACCTTTCCTTGTAGAGGTCCAGTATGGATCATCTTGCAGAGTGTTTACAAGAGGAAATCTAAACTATACTAGCTTTATTTATACTGTATAGCTCTATCAGTTCTAAACTGTTCTTCCTAGAGGTCCAGTAAGGATCATCTCTTATTGATCCAGTGTTACTACAGGAGGAAACCTAAACTAAACTAACTTTATTTATACTGGATATAAACACTAAACAGTGAACTGTTTAGGCATAGTACAACATATGGACTGGACTGGACTGGACTGGACTGGACTGGATTGGATTGGATTGGACTGGACTGAGCTGAACTGGACTGGACTAGACTGAGATCCAGTCCAGTACTGTACATATTTTGTACTATGCCAACTGTTTGTCCTAGACTAGAGGCCAGGGGCCTGGAATCATCGCTTATTGATCCAGATGAGTGATCCAGATTCATTGGGATTGTTCTAAAAGTGAAAACGTAAACTAAACTAAAGTAAACTAAACTAAACTTTATTTATACATGAATTGATAGGTCTTTTCTAGACGTTTCCTAGGCTACACACAGTTCTAGACTATGACGAGTATGCATTTCCAATAATGATTTTAATCTAGGGGATTTAAAAGAGACGTGACTTCTCTTAGTCCTATCAAAACCTTTCAGTCAACCTAACCGCAAATTTGAAACAAACCTCGCGCTGTTAATCCCTTGAGCTTTACCTCACAGGATTCTCCACCACACCGCAATTAATAAAATAACGCGTCCCAGATAAGATCACCCCAGCTGCACGTTGAGAGGTCTTGCAATTGTTATATTTGTATCTTCTTTTGAAACGAGCGCTGCTGCTGTAGAAATAGATATTCATCTGAATTGTTAGCTATTTACGCTTTTGAATTTAAGAATGTCCACGCTAAACCGCACGATTACATTCCTGCATATATATGAATCAAGAGATTTATTGATTTTGGCCCAAAAGAATTCTTCAAGTATCATTTGCACGCACATGTATTACGCCATACGGTCTTAACACTTCACAGGAAATCATTGTTGACATTGGAAGCACGCCAGGTCAGGGCGCGTTCTATACGCGTCCTTCAATCGATTCGGGAATTCCTGCTATGCATAACATTAACGAAGATTTGACCTGATGAAATTTCAATGAATTTTCATCATTATTTGGCGGTCAACGACGGTCTGGATTTTCTTAAAAAGTAATAGAGCAATTATAAAACGTTTAATTTAGTTTTAAAAACTGGTAGGAAACCGATCTCAAAATAACGCTTGTCTCAGTCGCCTGGAGTGGTCTCGATCTCCCTATAAACCGTTTACCGTTGATAATAGTTTTTTGGTAGTGTTATTGCCTCTGAGTTCACGTTATCCGGAAGCAAGAATTTACTAAATTTACCGCTGAAATTACTGACGAAAAAGTGCGAAATAATTATAGTTTTGGTACTTTTTTAAGTTATTATTAGATAATCCAAATCACAAAGACGAAATTCCTGTGCCAAAAATAAACCAATGCGTTCTACACACAATATATGCTACATTAAACCATATGGTTTTCTTTTGAAGTTACTAAATTTTTATTGCCCATTTCTATTATATGTACCTATGGAATACTTAATTCCCCATTTTCGCCTTACCATCAGGTTTTGATTTCGCTAAAATTTGAAATAAAGTTGAATTATTGTCCGCCATTTTGAAAAAAGATGTTCATGCTAATTTATGTCGGAATACATTACTGACGTCATTGGCTGGGTTCGGCCAAATAGATATCAATTGAATACAACATTCCGTAATGATAACAAAAGGTAAAAGCAGTATAGGGAAGCGCAAATAACAGAAAATGTGTAACAATTAGGTAGCGATGTTCTCTGCAATAGTTTGCTCCAAATCTTAGTATATACGTTATAATAAGCGCGTATATTAGACGTGTATAGTTAAATGCGCTTACGCTTCAGATGCCGACTGCAATAATATATCTAATTTAGCAAGTGTTTATGTGCAACACTTTCGACTCTGTGGCCTTTTAAACGCGCTAACGCTTCCGATGCCGACGAAGTAATCTTCGAAAATATTTTAACGCAAACAAATCAAATTTGGAAAGTCTTCATGTGCAACACTTTCGCCGCTGTGCCGCAATTGTGAATTGTTTTGATCGGAAGCCGGGAAGCAAAGCTTGTGAAATAATATACAAGTCGGCATGACAAAATGACAGCACATTAGATCATATGTTGGTATTATGTTGACATGTGTTTGCATTCATGGTTTATCCGGATGCAGGTGCTGCTGCCGAAATAGCTGTGAAGCGCTTGTAAAAAGAGCGTATCCTTTCTCATTTTCGCATTCAGTCCGAAATGCGAAGGTGAAAACATGTATTGCCCGGTTTACGGTTGTAATAGCGACTTCAAAAAAAAAACGAGTGCTATCAATTTCTTTCGGTTTCCAAGTGGAAAATCGGCAGCTCAGCAGAAGAGAAGAAAAATTTGGATAGATTTTTGCAAGAGGAAAGGTTTCGAGCCATTGGCGAACAGTAGAATTTGTTCTCTTCATTTCGCTGAAGACGCCTACCAACCTGGACATTCGCCACAATTTTTGAAGCAAATGTCAGGAGTCGTTTCGCGTTCAGTTGAAAAGCGATGCTGTGCCAACCTTGAATAAACCTTTGCCTGAAACAGGTTCAAGTAAAACAAGGATTTTTACAGAAAAAAGACAGCGTAAAAAGGTAATATAGAAATATGACGAGAACGTTTCGTTAGGAAGTGTAGAGATTATAGTTGAGAGCCGTAGAGGCTTACATATGCGGTAAAATAGAGTTATTCACACATATAGCATGGTAGGCATTACTGAATTTTACGCCAATAATACAAACATTTGTAATCATTTATAGAAACTCGAAGACCTTCTAGAAGCAAGTAAATCTCAACAAAACGATTCATCTTCAAGTGAAAATGAATCCGAAGCCGAAGGGCCACAAAGTTTCTCTAATTTGGAGACGTTAGACGAAATACCCAACATTCAAAGCACAGAGGAAGACCGAGTGGAGAAACAGATGAAGATTTTAAACACAAGAGAAAGGTCAACACAAACAAGGAAAAAACAAGGGACCAGGTCGATCAGAACACAAACGACATCCACTTCGTTTTTGACCTCTTTGGAAGCGCAAACGGTTGTGAGCGACAGTGATAACATGCCTTCACGTGATGTTGAAACAGAAACACCAGATTTCGTGCAATCTACGATTACAGACGTTGACGTTGAGAGCATGCGGAGCAGCAGTTCAAGCGTAGAGCCCATAACAGTTGGCTTACATAGTGACTTTGACATTCCAGAGGAATCGTCGTCCACTCTCAGTGACGACAGCAGCGGAGAAGATACCGATTCTGACGAACGAAGAGTTCTAGAGCATGGCAAGTCCCCACAAGACCAGATCAAATTTATTGTCTTCGAAGAAGCAATTCTAGATGTCTTTGGTCAATGCGGTCAGTGTGGTGTGTGTTGTGACCATTGCAAGTCAAATTGGTTCCTCGTGTTGCATTGGTGTCACATGTACGGTCCAGCCTGAGCATAATTTTCAGTGGACGACTGGTCCCTCGTTATCCAAAATGCCAGTATTTCATCTGCTACTAGCATCTGGCATTCTCGCAACCGGAATGGAATCCTCAAAAGTTCTTCGTCTATTTCGTTCGCTGAACATTCCTAACCTGAAGCAACGGGAGCTGTCGAATATCTTAAAGAATTATGTCATTCCCTCAGTTTATGAAGTGTGGAAAGGGGAACAATCCGCTAGGTTACGGGATATAGGAGATGAACGAATTGTCATTGCATCGGATATGCGCGTTGATAGTCCTGGTCACAGTGGGCTTTTTGGATCAGGCAGTACGCTGGACATGGGACGGAATATCATATTAGATACCCAAGTAATCAAAGTAAGTTTGAAACCTGAATATGGGAAATTTAATATAAAATTCCCAGTAAAATAAAATTGGATGAAGAAATGTGCTTTTTGGATATCTAAGTTCTTTACATATTCTTGTTTTTTAAGTCCACTGAAGTGAAGAATTCCAACGCTATGGAACTGGAATCCCTTAAGAGACAGTTGAAATACTTGGAGGACAATGGCACTAAAGTTGACAAGTTAGTTACAGATAGGCATATCCAAGTGTCCGCATACATGGCAAATGAGAAGCCACAGGTGGAGCATGCCTATGATGTATGGCATGTAGCAAAGGGTACAGTAAAACATTATAACAAATAAATCTGAAAATAATTCACTTTATATGCCAATTATACCCTTTTTGGTGACCTGCAATACCAATATAATAAACATGAAATTAAAATCAGGAATTTCTAATTTTCAAGGAGAAAAAAAGAAGCTAACAAAAGTGCCAAGAAAAAGAAATTCAGGAAAATTCAGCCATGGATTGGGGTATCTATATAAATATAATTCTGTATCAGTTTACATAGCAAAAAACAATTGTCATTGGTTATCTTAGTTATTAATATTTTTTCATTTACTTGACAGTCAATCATTAATCATATTTATTGGGTTGGTGACTCCAGTGAGACTGAGGATGAAAGAGAGGAAAAATGGCGCAGTATTCTAAACCATATAATCAATGTTCATGAACATGCTGGCCATAAAGTGTTTGTAAAATGTCTCCATGGCACAATTGAAAGAGACTGGATTAAAAAAGGTTATAAAAAATAGCAACACTATGGATGAATATATATATATATATATATAATTATATATATATTATTATATATATATATATATTTATATATTGTAATGTGTGTATACATGATTACAGGATCAGCTGCTCACAAAAAATTGGAAGAGATGTTAACAAGGCCACGGCTCATTTCTGCAATCCGCAAGTTATCGAAATATCATCAGACATCTGGTTTGGAGGCCAAACATGCTTTAGACAACTTACTGGCCTCAAAGAACACTTATCATTCCTATCATTCATTGAGTGCAAGGTAAAATTTTTAAGTTTGGCCAACACACTGTTTGAAAATTGTGACATGCAAAAGGCTTTATTATCTTTGTGTATTTCAAACCAGATTGTACTGTTCAAACTTGCACTACAATGAAAACAGCAACAGAAAGCAGGCAACAACTGCTGATGGAAAGCTGAGATGGGCCATATCTTATCCAAAGGCTTTTAAAGGAGAGAAAGCTGTGGCAAAACCTTTAAAAGAAAAACCGACCTATGGTATGAATTTCATCTTCCTGTTAAAAGGCCATATATACAGCACACTTTTAAGCAGGGAAAAAATCAGATATTTATTATATACCAGGTTGATAAGTTCACAAATTTAAATCTAATTTTATAGAGTATGTACATTTGATATTAAGTCAAGTTATAAAACTCCGAAAGCAGTACCCTACATTGAAGAAGGCCAAAGAACATGCAAGCAATGTACTACCTCCAGAGCCACAATCACTTGTTCAACAGTACTTGGCAGGAAAGGAGAGACCCTCAAAAGAACAAGTCGTAGCTAACAAGAAGTCACGATTCAGTAAGCCAGCTTTACCTACAAGTGTAAAAAGAAAAGCTGGTGTCCTTGTGCATGTAAAGGTAAATGCGCAACACGAAAATGTGACTGCAGGGCAGTGGGAACAATCTGTGATAAGGAATGCAAGTGCCAAGAGGCCAAATGTATCAATCGTGAATGAGGTATTCCTTTCACGCACAAATATATATATATATATATATATGCTCTCAATTGTACATACTTCAAGAATTAGAACCATAAAGTAAAATATTACCGTTTTGATTTTCTTGCGTATTTAAAGTGAGTGTATAAACCGTCAGGCGACTCGAAGCGTTCTCGTATCTTTGCATATACACAAGCTGGGAAGGGTCTTCGCTTTTTCTTCCCCAAGATCTGGAAAATCCACCGAGAACACCTCTGATACGCTACTAGTCGATAGAGTTTGTGTACTCTTTCTAGATCCTCATCATCAAGAGGCCAGTTTTCCTCAAGGTAACGGCACACATCGACTTTTAGCACTCCTTCTGAAAGCATGTTTTCATTGAATTCTCGATGTGTTGTAACACACTGCTTGTCTTGTGTTTCTGTTTGGTTAAGGAGAACGTCGTATTCGTCGTATTCAATGCTTTCTCGTGGCAACAAAAACACTCAATAGTCTTGTTCGATATAGTGCAATGTCCGCATTTACACCAACTAAGAGTTTGAAGGCGCCAAGCATTTACCCTTTCAAACTCGTGATCGACTTCTTCGTCAGACGAAGACAACTCACTGTCTTGTTCGGAACCGCTTTCAGCGCTTAAATGGCCTGTTTCTGCCCCAACTTCTGGTTCATACTGGTACGGCAACACTTCTTCTACTTGATTTTTGTGTATATCTTCCATACTAACAATAAAAAGCTACAAACCTTTTCGAAGCTAGCGAGCGAGTCAAATTTTTAAACAAAAATACACTGTTGTTTTGATTCAACCCAGCCAATGACGTCACTTCCGGCAATATAACCCGAAGATAATTTTTCAAAATTTTATCCAAGATGGCGGGCAAAGTATCAAATTCGAATGCAAATAACTGGTCGATAAAAGAGTTTGATAAAGAATTATTGTTTTTTTTATTGTAATACCCAACGTTTTAAAATAGCCAATAAAAATTTTCGTTGCCAATGTCTTTGAACGTTTTAAAATAGCCATAAAAATTTTCGTTGCCGTTTTAGGACGTTGTTGTGCTAGAATTGATGAAAAGTTTATGTTTCGCGCCGTTTAAACATCACATGTACTGATGTAGTTACAGGAAACGAAATTACTTTATTCTATGAATACGATCAAAGAAAAGAGATATCAGATAGGGATTCTTCATATTTTCCTTCGTATAAAAGCCAGTTCTTTGGCCTGAATGCATGCATGTGGCCAGGCTCAGTATAGCGATGTCTTACTGAGCTAGAGCGCACATCAGCAACGGCCTTCGGTCTCTCTCTAAATGCTCTGTTTTAATTTTTCAATATGAAATTGTAATGACGATGCATTTGGGTAATTCACACAAACCCTGTGTGAGCCGGCATATCTCTGTCTCGAAATTTGAAGTGAACGTCTAGCCGCATATCAGAGCGCAATATCTTTTCAATATGCCAAGTCTAAAGGAGCCGTTTTTCATTGTTTACTAAACTATTGTTAAAATCTCTTTTCCCGAGGTAACAGTCATTAATCCTGCTGACGCGATATCACGAAAAATGATAAAACATCTGTTTGCCTGCATGCATGAATATCAGTCCGGCATCCAAAGATCAATAAATTCGTGTTGTTTACATTCGAAAGAAAAACGTAACCCCTTTGAACAGCGCTAAATATATTTAAAAACTTATCTGACATGTATAATTGCGCAGGATATCGACTTTATCAAACCAAGTTGTTATAAGACCGAGTCTCGAAGCCGTCTGCATGATCATGAATTAACAATTAATGTCTCAAACAGTCTTCAAATGCTGAATGGTCAACGAAACAAACTCACTTGCAGAATTTATACAATTAAGCTAATGGAGGGAAACGTTTAAGACTGATCCTACAGAGGTAGTGAAGATGAACCCCATTATACTGGGAAACCCCTTTTGAGAGTAGTAATAAAGAAGTTCACCCCCTATACAGCTATAGTCATTATATATTTCGACATATTAAAAGGCATCTTATCGGCGTTGAAAATTTTATTTTTTAATCCCCAAAGTGTCAGACTTACGTACAGCTTGTAAACACAGTAGTTTGGCTGCTATAGCCGTCAGTCTGAATATATCTGAAGTGTTTGCCAAATTTGCTTACTATATATAATATACTAATATATTGCCAACACTTTCTGATCATTAATTTCCTCAAATGTCTGACTTATATCCTTAAATCAAAAAGCATTATAAACACAGACATTCTTAACATATTAAAATAAGCAAGTGCCTTGATGGAAAGAATTAACTTTTTTTAAACATGCCCTTTCTTATACAATTGTCGGCAGATTATAACCGGCCAAAAAGTTATTTGTATTGAGTATTGAGTAAAAATTAATATAAAATCGAGCACACGTGACAAAGTTTTAAAATCTTATTAAAACGACAAAATTTCTTTGTATTTTCAAGTTCGTATGTTCTCTTCAGGTCTAAAAACTTCCTTTTTCCTTGCCAAGCTTATTAAAAAGTACTTGTGGGAGGAAATTAACGGGGAAAACAACATTGTCTGACATCTTCTTACACTAACTTCCTGCTGAATTAAGACGTATATAGCTACAATGTTCAGAATTTGACAGGAGACTGACAACAGTGACTTGTGTCTGTGAAAAGAGCCGATATGGATCGTACAGAAGGCTTACGATCTAAATAAATACTGTTTGTTCGTGAATCTTGCCACGTTTTACAACACGATAAGATATATTTCAAAACACGAAACGTCTTCTTGCATAACGTTGTTGATCACCTTCCAAATTCCAATATTCCACAAAAAAACCTAATTTTTTTTTCTGCCGGATGGCAGAGATGTCGTAATTTTCAACTGAATGTGTTCAATTTTGTTCTCAGCTATATATTTACCTAACAAATGATATTGAATAAACTGTCTGGTTCTTTGTCTAACGAAGTATGTCTGGCGGAACATTAGCTGAACAAATCTTCTTTAATGAGAACATATGAGCAAACATTGAGAGAAAACCCAGACACAAATATTGATTTTATGAATATAGAATAGTGAGAAAAGGAACTTGATGTTTCAGCATAAAATATAAACAAAAGACTGCCATTGAATTTGCATGAGTCAGAGAGCAATGCGGAAGACGAACTCTTTAGTTGTACAATGGTTTTCCCGCCCATTATACGATGCTACTGACTGACATTGTAGCCAGTACCATGCACATTAAGCTGGAACTTAAATCGATGAAAAATTTACTTAACTTCGTTTTGCGAGCAGTACCGCATAAGATGTTACTGCATGTGATAAGCTGTTCGTCTTTTTATACGATCAACCTTATAATCGTCCGATGATAATCATGCTATTGTTGTTATTTCAGTCTGGTTCAGACCGTATCACTATCGATGCGGAAGAGTGTTGACGTATTTCCTAAATTGGAGCTTTTCATCTCACTCTCATACTTAAGTGTTGGGAAAAGGACAAAGGACAATAATTCCTTTCTTGAAGTAAACATGCCAAAGCCAATGTCAATGATCTATCCAAAATTCTTCACCGATTACTATACTAGCCCTATCCAAACAATTTTATATCATCTAACATCTTTCCAGACCATTCCTCAAAACTGAACGCCCAGCTAATCAATTTCATATCATCCAACATCTATATCCAGACTATTCCACAAAATTTAAAACGCAACAGCTATCCGGACTATTTCACATCACCCACCACTTATCTTCACTATTTGACATAACCAGACACTTTGTTTTTAGACTATTCTACATCGCCCAACAACTATCTAATTCACATGACCCAAAACGCATCAAGCCTGCATAACACGACCTTACACCTGTTGAAACCATTAGTTTCGCATGGCCATACATGTCTATTTAAACTTTTCACACGGCCAAACACCAGACAAGTCGGCGGTTAATGCAAAATGGCGGCCACTCTAGACATTCAAACCATTCTCTCGAGTATATTAAAGAGCTGTGATGTCATATAGACATCAATAATTTAGATGCTTAAATTTAGCTGACGCAACTGCACTTGTACGGTATAATAATATGGAGCTCATTTATATAGCACGACACGGCGTGTTTGAACTTTCCCAAGCTCCCTTGTAATCACAGGAGATGTTTGCTTCAAACACAGGCACGTTTAGTGGTATTTCAGCAATAATGCATTTGGCGCCAGTTTGGAGACTTCATCGCTTCTCTTTTAAATGACATGACGCACAAGAAGGCTCTTAGCGCCAAGTACTTGTCTAGTCATTGTTTGAATATTAAACAGGAATGTAAAGTGTTCTTCCTTTGTCTGGATTGTTAAATGGGGAAACTAAAAAAAATGCCAAGAATCCTCGTAACTTGTCGTTGACCTCGCTTATGAGGAGCTTATCTTCAGAAGAAGTTGCATATGCCGACTATTCAAATCTCCATCTTTCTTCACTATTTTTTTATGAGTCTTTCCGAGTCATCACGCGCTACATTCCTGCATGGAACATGTTTAAAAAAAACTAACAGCAAAACCATTGACCGCAAAATACAAACACGTCGTCGCAAGAATTAACCGTCCTGGACATAGCATATACAATGTTAAAACGTTTTAGGCAAAAATCACAGGCCGATATTTCTGGGGAAGGCGAGTGTTGACAACTGTTGAATGGTAACAAACAAAAGCGAAAGGAAAACAAAGTATATTCATCCATATAATAAACATATTATTCTATTTATCCATATAATATACACAAATGATATATGGTTGTTTGAAGGATTAAGCCGCGTCTACAAGGGCCAATTTCATCGGCGATTTTGTCTTTCATAAATGGCGATGTTATTGTGCGAATTATACATGCACTTCTATAAGCTGGGCGAAGTAAAGTAACATACTCTGTTAAATTTACATAATAGCATACACCAAGAGAAGTAAATCGACGTCAAAAATTGTGAAACTATGGTGTCAAGCCACAAAACTCTTCAAAAAACAAGTCAGCGATCAATCTCGCTTCGCCAGTTGTCTTCTACTGTTGTCGGAGACAAAGAAACTCTAAATGGCTGCCAGGAAGATAAAACAGGAAGGCGGGGATCATTTTTGGACAAAGAAACAGGCACATTCACAAAGGCAATTGTGGGAGTAGAAAAAATGTAAAAAAGCCCACAGTCTGAAATAAACACTCAAGTCCTCCATACAATATCAACGAAAACTCGGCATTTTGACGCCCAACTCACAGACTGTAACGCGAAGAAGTCAAGAGCGTTTGACATTCCAACATGACATCATCAATTATACCGGTGGTACGTAGTATAGTCTGGAGTGGAGGTGTTCGCGCCAAGTTTAATTATAAGCGAATACTGGACCGAGGACAACTTAGGAACTAGAGAGCAGTGGCAGTGTGTGGCAGTGTCGATGAGGAGCGGCATGTATAATGAAATTAGAGTACCAGCACTCGAAAGAAGAGGACTTATGATGCCGGGGTACAAAGCGCTGTTAATGCCTGTTATATGTTCGTAGTGAAGACTTAAAGAGAGAAGGTGGCAGTTGATCAGGGGCAGGTTGCATGAAAGCCGGATGGCGCTAGGTTTTTTTAAATTTCAGCTTTGGAAACAACAATTATTAAAGAGGATCCTCAGGGATTTAGGAATGCTAAGATTTAATTAAAGTTATCAGTGCCAAAAAACGGTTTTAATGAGCGATTGAAAAAGCCACTATCTGGTGGATAGCGCTATCCGGCTTTCATACTACCGGCTCCAGAAAGATATCTGTCATTTTGTGTGCAGACAAAATACACTTTTGCAAAGACGAAGACGCGGGTTGACGGACCGAAAGCTTTGCATCATTGAAAATACGTCAAATACGTATTGAAAATACGTAATCACAATCGCACAGAAATGTTCATTTCTTAAAATAATTTATATTACATGCAAAATACTTGTCTAGTCAGCTAAAATCTTTTGCAAGCGAAACAATATTACATGCCTCAAACTATTTACATTGTCTGACAAATGGCTTGAAAATCTGCAAAGCCTTGATATAAGTGGTAGTTTCATAATCATGCTGTTAATATATTGTGTCAACTGTACCCAAATTGTGTGTATATATATGCATGGATATATACATACCTCTTTTATTTGAACCATATGTTAGTTTTTAGCCTCAATTGAAATCTCTTAATTATGTTCTACTTATCTTGCAATCATGTCTAGCATCATGAATAAATTAGGTGCATGTCTAAAAGAGCTATATTTAACCAGGTTGCTAAAAGATTTAATCTAACCTAATAACCCAATGCACTTATGTATGTTGGCCATTAATTTTGATTTCAAGGTTTAATCCAAGATCAAATTACGCTTTCTGCAGTATGTCTGAGTGGCCATTGTTATCCTGTAGAGTTTCTTCGAGGTGAAATGTTTAAGGTTTAAATTTACATCACATTCTTCTGACAAGTGTTTTTTTTTATTTCATCATAACTAACCTACATAGCTTCCATCATAGCTAATAGGTAAATATAATCAAATCAAAAATTAATCAATACAGAATGATTTGCATACAGGCAGACTGCAAAGTATGTCATTGTCCCACACAAGCACTTAGCAACTGTAGAAACTTGAGCAATCTAAATGAAATCTTGTTGAAAACTGTCGACCATAGTAACACAGCACATACAAGACATGATAGTTCGCATCAGAATTGTGAGACCAAACCAAATAAGCAGGCATTATTCTGCATTTCAGACACATTAAAATAATCCTACATTTAAATTTCATGGTTTTGAAGTTTATTAAAATATGACCTTGATGATTACTTGATCAGTCTCTTCTTGGAAATGATAATGCATCTGCAAACATTGGCATCTACACTTAACCTTTACATCTGTAATATCTGACAATGCAAATATGGTACCAGCGATAAACAATTTTAGTCAACTTACCACTGAGTGTGGTATGCACTAGAAAGGTATTTAAGGTCATTAATCTTTATTATTTATAGAACACTTGTGCAAAATCTAGATCTCTCAAATGTTTTATTAGGCTCACTCACGAAAAAGAAGCTATTCACTTTCTGATATAACCAATTTAATATTTAACATTGCGCTGAACGCGGGCGATAGTATTTAGGGTTGTTTACAATCTTTTTAAGCCAACCTACAAAGAAGCTTACAACAACATGGTCGAATTACTGACCGATCCCGTCGTACGAAGGACCCTTGTTTAACTAAAAAAATCACCAATATAAATCTCCCTTTCTTTTAACGAGCACACTTAAATCAATAATTGCCCTGGATTTTACAAGCCGCTCAATACGCGCGATAATATTTCGGGGTTGTTTACCATTATCAAACACAACGTACAAGAAGCCGCTCACAACAACATGGTCGAATTACCGATCACGTTATGAACAGAAGCACCCTTGTTTAACTAAAAAAAATCATCAATATAAATCTCCTTTTCTTTTAACAAGCGAACATAAATCAACAAGACACATAAAAGCTGCAAATGACACTTGAAATTAACCGCTTTTTACCGACAAGATAATGTTAACTGATAAAACTTCGAAATAACGGTCAAATCAACGTTGCTGTCCCGATCGAGCCATGCATAAATCAATAATACATTCACATCTTTCTACACAGATAACGATTTAAAATACACCACAAACCTTATTTGAAGTTCTTTCACAATCTTTGGTGTAATATGGCATTCATGTTGAACGTTTTCACGACGAAAAATAACAAATTTTCAACAAAATCTTGCACCTGCTTTGAAAGTTCTAAAATTTAAAGTGCCAAATTGCGACTTCTTCTTCGCCCTCGGGTCAGTCGAATGTCACATTTTGCACGTGACGTGCGCTCACGTGTGTCACTGGTGTCAATCTCAATCAAGGCTAGTTTCCACTCAGGAAAAATCTCCTTTGGATCGGAACGGACAGGAAAATTTCCTTTGTCGGTGAGTTCTCAGGCGGCGTTTATACAAAGGAATCTTTCCTGTCCTGTCCGATCCAAAGGAGAATTTTCCTGAGTGGAAACTAGCCTTCAGAGGTGGCAAAACGAAACGAATATTATTGAAATACCATTTGTTCTAATGTCCATTCAATACACCAGGGGCCAGTTATATACTTAAAAGACTAGTTAACTTTCTACTGTAGTTAGGGACAGAATTTGCAAGTCGATTCGTGTATTTCTGAGTTAACTAGAATTTAACTATGCAAAATGGAGTTAAAGAGTTTTATACAACCTGTCCCAGTTATTTTTGCAATTTCCTACGTCGTTAAAATATATTTCCTTACAAAATATGACCATATTTTCTACATTCTAATTCCTGTACATTATTATGTTGTGGGAAACGTTCCAGTTCTTACAATCCCGTATATCGTCCTTATCAGTATCAAACATTCTACGTCTTTTGCTTCTAAACATATTTTGTCTTCGCCGGCGTAAAACCGCTATTCGCAGGGTTCTCGACCGTCGAAATTCACAGGTGGATTCTAGTGATTGATTGATTTGCGACCAATTACCATATATTGCGCGCTTTGCGTAACATTTTGCAGATAAAAGTGACAGCTCCGGAGTATTGAGTAGTATGTGTTCAGCGGTCGTCAAGGGCTCCACAATGAATAAACTATAAATCTGGTTATCCGCAGCTGTTCATTGTCAGTGCAAACAACAACAGATTTAGCCGGCGGCTATGTTCCTGGATGGAAAAGCTGTACTCGTTCAGGATTCCAGTATAACTTAGCAGATTTGTAAACCAGCGACCAAACGTAAGGAATAAAGAATTCCTCCGGTTGCTCCTCTTCCACATATTTGAACTTCAGTTCAGGGAATTTCTAAATAAAAAAATACAAATTTGAATGTTGATGAACAAAGCCCATCCAATGGGGGGGGGGTGTAAATGGAAAAATTAACCCAAAGGGGGGGGGTGTTGGTGGAAAAATTAAGAAACCAACCTTGAGTCTATCTCTTGGCCATTGTAGTGTGCCCTGTTTGATAACATCCAGTACGACCTGAACTGACAACGTCTGCTCCGGATGTTGCTCGAGACGAGCACTGAAGAACGCCAGAACCTTTGAGAAGAAGAAATATGGCGGGATCTTTGAATGTAGGAATGAACTTCACGCTGAACATCTTTATGGACCTCGAAAGGTATCTTACCGTGTCGATGTTTTGAATAATATCGTGAAACGTCGGGTGTGTCCTGAACTGTGCAAACAACTCTCGCCTGTGCAGTAAAGTGTACACAAGATTCGGGTTATGATGGAGCGTGTTTGTAAGACACGAGTTTATTATCTCCAGAACCATTCGAATCACTTCTTCAAGGATTGCCAAGTCGGAAACCTGTGAAACACATAGAAATACACGTAGTTTAAAACAGTAAATTTATATCAGACGATCGTCGCATGAATCATGATTGTCGTCTTGCTTAGTTTGCTAAAAAACTTACAAAATCTTGCGGAAAATCTTCCTGCATGACCTGGTGGGGATTTTGCTCAGCCTGCTTGATCTGCTCTTGCACGCGGCCATGTTTTTTCGCCAAAACTGCGTACAGGCTGTTGATAACAGAAGCGAACTTGCATAAGTGTAAACGAACGAGAAACACAACACTGGTGTCAGAAAAGACACATTGTTTTATTCACCTGACAAGTCGTTGGGTGACGTACGGGTGCAAGGCATGGAATTGTGCCGACATATTCGCCAAGGCTGCAAGACAATTCGTATGAAGGTATTTGTCCTAAAAATCGGAAAGAGAGTTAGAAAAACGTCAAAAACAGAGGGGGGGGGGGGGGATGAAACAAAAAACCAACAAACAGCATGAATCAGGGGAAAACACTAACCCTCATCTTAGTCATATTATATTGTATCGTTCTTATGACCACCAGGACAAGCATTCCTCCTAACGTGATGTTATTCACAACACGATCCGTAAACCAGGGAACCTCTGGTAAAACCTGAAAGCAAGAATAACAAATATCTCCTATATCTTTCTTTGCTGTGGAATTTCTGAAAACTCAGCGGGAATTTTAACTCCTACCACTTCATGTACGGATTTGTTGAAATTCTCGTCTTGACTCAAAATTAATAAAACGATCAACGCCATATAAATGTGATGCGAGTTTTGCTCCTCGGCTGTATACAACAGTTTTAAAATAGGAATGACCTAAATCAAAGGAAATATTTGGTCTAAGATTTATATACGTTCAAGCTGCGGCGAGTTGGCCCGATTCAAACAAACTTTAATGATATAAAGGTCTGTTCTCACGATCCAATTTTGTTCGATTCAATTCACTTCTGATGGATGTTTTATAGTCCGTTGTCTTGTAATGTATATCAGCAGCAAATCCACTAAAAACTTAACACAATGTACCACAGCTTCATCAATAACCGACTATATTTCATATGTCAGAAGTGAATTGGATCCTAGAAAATTGGATCGTGTGATCATCTACGTCAAAACTTTGACATCGTGCAACAGCGTATAGTCTCTCAACCGCGGTAGATATTAAGCGGCCAAGTTCATTGCTTACCAAATTATCGATGTCGGTTCGCGACAGAAGATACGAGGCTATCGTAGGATTACGATGCAGCAACAGATATAACAGCAATGTCGTTTGATCTGTGTGCAGTTGACTATAGATTGGAAACATTTTATCAAAATAAGCATTATTTGGGAGAAAGAGAGAGTTAAACAATCCCCCCAAATCAAATCCATCCCTGCTGATATAAAATGTCGTAGGTTCGTAAACAAAAAGATTTACCTGCATAGAGTGGTGTAAAGTACTCCAGCATTCATATAAAAGGACGCTTGTTCGGTATCCTCGGACGAGGTGCCGCCTAACAACACAAAGGCATGCATGAATTTGACTTCCACTGTTACTACCGCTATGCCTATCCACGCTTGTGGGTGATTGGTTAATCTGATAGAGTTATCGCATTCGCTTAATGTACCCTCAATGCTTGTGGTAGTTAAATCTGAACAGTATTATATTGTTTACAGGTTTGCCATGTATAAAACTGGAGCCTGCAGTTGCTCCCAATTCCGTACGGCTTCAGTTGATAGTGCGGGCACTTTTGGGGGCAACTCAATAGAATCAAACCAACCTTTTGGTTTCGAGTTGGTGAACGTAAACAATGCCAGGCGATATAGATTTAATTTCTTTTCTTGAGTGCAATGATTTACCAAGATCAGAAGAAGCAATAAACTTTGATTTGCAAGCAATGCGTCGTCTTGTTCCACTGTTTCTTCTTCGCTACCAAACCACGACATTAACGTTCCTTCAAAAATGACGCACTTCACATTAGACAATATACACCCAATAAAGTCTCCAACTTTAGAGGGATGTATTTTCTTCATTTCACAATATTCTACTGGCAAACTTTGCGAGTTAACTAAATTTAGGACGCTCTTTCAAATCATGGTAAGAAAACAACTTTAAGATCATTTCGATGCATATTTTTAAGTGAAAATAGTTGTGCTTGACCATATCGTTTTGACAAGGAGCTATCGAGAGGGGCATTGGACCAAATGACAAAGTTTTTTACTCAATAAATATGAAGGGAAACTCTTCAGTTACTTACCTATAAGTCCTTTTCCGCGAACAGACTTCAATTCATCTGGTAAAGGTTGCTGTTTGATGTAGTGTCTTAGGAGTTTCATCACTAACTTGTCACTTCTTTTTGAGCTACACGTTCGGAGAAAAAACTTCAGAAAATCTGATATTTGAGGAATTTAATGCATTATGAGGTATGTTTTTGAGGAAATGCTAAAAATAGGTACAATTGCGTACACGCGTGTTTCTATAACCGTATCTTTAGAGACATGGGAAAGTATTTATATTTCTTCTTAAGAGCTGAATTGAAGACCATTATTTGGTGATGTCAAACCATCTTACCACTTTCCATTCATGACAATTTGATAGATGACACTGTTTGAGGAGGCATCCGGATCAAACATTTGTACAGAAAGGAATATGATCAGCGTGTTTATTGCCTCCAGCAACAAAGCATATGTTTCGTCACTAGAAAACACAACAAAATAATATCACATCCTGAAATCTGCACAGTAACCATCTGCAGTATCATTGAAAGAAACAGTATTCAACACATGTTATTTTTACCTATATGGAATTTCTGTTAGTATTTCAACCAATGTATCAATAAAGTCATCCAGAAGACCACACTCTAGAGAAATGAATTTGGCACCAAATCTGTTTATATAACTCTTCTACATCTAACCCCATGCAATCTTCACATGCTTTTCTGGCAGGGGGAGGGAAACACCTTGATGTTCCAGTACCGCTTACAAGACCCCACTACAATAATTTAGTACCTTGAAATTTACTATTGTCAGGCGATCTTTGAATTTCTTGAGAGACCTGACCGGCCAGCTTTCCTAAATATAAAAAAATACTTTCACCTATTCAGTATTCTATTTTCTGCATAAGGAATTTTTATTGATTAGTGTGTGAATAATTAACCAATGGACGAGCTTCAAAGAATGCAAACCTCTTTGAAGTTTTGATGCCTGGGCCAAAGTAAATCCTCCAAAATGAACAAACAAATCCTCCTCTCTTGAATGTTCAATGAAATATTTCACAAAACTTCGAATCAACAACAAGCAATTGAACACTTCCCAACACAACGAAGTACTACACAAAATTCAAAAAAAAACATTTAATTAATTTGTATCCCAAAACTCATCTTCAATCATTGAATATAACATACTCAATCTTTCCATCGCATTTCCTCAATTCTTCAACTTTCCTCTGACACAACTCAACCAGCGTGATAAAATTTCCAGTTTGTAAATTGTTCCGAGCTGCAATCAAACAAAAATCTTTCAGAAAACACTGAAATGGAAACTTTTTATTCCCTTCTTATTTGTTCTAACAATGTTACAACATTCATGGCACAAGCACTTTGCTTGCATCCCTAAAACTGCCGCTTGTTGCCCCAGGTCCACCACACACTATCACCAATACTACTCTGTGAATTCAGAATTGAAATTACCCTGGAGTACCCATCTCTATTGATATGTTAAGATAAGAGTATTGGAGTTGTTTGATTCCTTCGTTCATTCAAGAATAATAGACATCGAAATACATTAGACAAAACCTTTCTTCTGAACACTTGCAATCTAATACGACTCTGAATGACAAATTATCAAAACAATAATACTACAATGCATTTATACTACTATGCAAACAATACCTAGATTTAAACAGAGTTGTTCTGTTGCTATTTCCAGCAATTTAGCATCGGATCTACAGAAAAAAAGAATGTGTTCAACAATTTTTCCATCGATTATTAAATAATAACAACAACTGTCCCCGAACTCTCGGAGTGTTTAGAAACGTCTATATAATATTGTGTAGATTCCTTTGATTAATCCATATGATTCCTTTCTGTCGGACTTAAATCAATATACGTGATACACAGAAAGGTTTCACTTGTTTCTCATCCATATGATTAAACATAACAGTCTGTTTGAACAGTTATCAACACTCACATGCTGTATATATTTGCAAAACTGAACGCGAGCAGTTCCTCCCAAAATTGACCCCCTTTCGCGATACTTTCGGTTCCTACAAGGCGCTTCAGAAGAACGTTTTCCTTTAGTTCATTTATAGAAGATGGCTTCGCTCCCATTTCCGAGTCTTTCACGGCAACAGCGCTTTTCAATGAGTCAAAAATGGCAAAATTTTATTTCGAAATGGTTTCATTCTGATGAAAACATTGGGCGGCCATTATTTTCTTACGTAAAGCGATGACGTCAACATTTTTCAAGTAATTTCCATTTTTTTCACGCGAATAGCCGCCGTTGAGCAAAAAATAACACAAAGATTTGCAAAGATTTCACAAAATGACTTTAATGCTCATGATTTATTTTCGCGTCTAAAATGCAAACAACTGTATGTTATAACGTACATATATATGCTATATGTTATGTAAAAACGACCAACGTCTTAACCCACTAAACCACCACAGCATTTGTCGAATGGTATTGTTCTTTATTTGACTTAATCCTGTCGCTATGAAAAGGTCAATACTCCTCACCGTCTTCGAACCATCGGCAAGCGACACGCGAGAAAAACCCAGCAACGTCCTGGTCGAGGTTACGTACAACCTGGATTATGAAGCTAGAAAATCAAAAATCTTTTCCAGTTCTTGAATTGACTTGAATGTCTTGAAATATTCCAGCAATTCTGTCAACAGTTTCGCATAAGATTTCGTATGCCTGAGAAAGAAAGAAAAAGGATATCGATAAATAAATATCGAAAAGGAGCCAAATATTTAAGTCGCTCAAAAAAAAACTCCTACATTCCCTTTACTAGTATGAAAGGTGGTCAAAACTACAGAACCAAATATGCAGAAGATTTGCTTTGTGTCTCTCCAGGTTAGAAGATGCGCTTGCAGGCACATACCTGAAGGAATAGTTTTTCTTTATAATAATCTTCTGTAACAACACTGACAGTCTGC